TGTTGAAAAGATGTCAAGAAACTAATTTAGTGTTAAATTGGGAAAAGTATCAATTTATGGTGAAAAAAGGTATTGTTCTTGGTCATAAAATTTATGCTAAAGGTATAGAGGTGGATAAAGAAAAATTGGAAATAATTGAACAATTACCTCCCCCTATGAATGTAAAAATGGTAAGAAGTTTTTTAGGTCATGCAGGTTTTTATAGGCGGTTCATCAAAGATTTTTCTAAAATAGCAAAGCCTATGACTAATCTTCTTGAAAAAGAAGCATCTTTTGAGTTTGATGAGGCATGTTTGCAAGCATTCATAACCTTAAAGAAACAACTTGTCTCTGCTCCTATAATTATTGCACCTAATTGGTCTTTACCATTTGAGATTATGTGTGATGCTAGTGATTATGTTGTGGGTGTTGTATTGGGACAAAGAAAAGAAAAAGTGTTTCATGTCATTTATTATGCCAGTCGTGTGTTGAATGAAGCTCAAAAGAATTATGCCACGACTGAAAAAGAATTACTTGCTATAGTGTTTGCTTGTGATAAATTTAGATCCTATCTTATTGGGTCTAAGGTTATTGTTTACACTGATCATGCTGCTTTGAGATATTTGTTTGCTAAGCAGGATGCCAAGCCACGATTAATCCGTTGGATTCTCTTGTTACAAGAATTTGATTTGGAAATCCGAGATAAGCAAGGGAAGCGAAATTTGATAGCTGACCACCTTTCCAGAATGAAGGATGATCGGGATGTACAACCTATTTCAGAGGAGTTTCCAAATGAGAAATTGCTAGCCATTACTTCTTTACCATGGTTTGCAGACTTTGCTAATTTTAAAGCAGCAGGTATAATCCCATACGACTTAACCTTTCAACAGAGGAAAAGAATTCTTGCATGATGTTAAATTTTATTTTTGGGATGATCCCTTGCTGTTTAAAAGATGTACTGATGGTATCATTAGGAGATGTGTTCCTGAAAATTAATTTGAAAGTATCATTTGGCATTGTCATGGATCAGATTATGGGGGGCATTTTAGTGTTTAGAGAACAACTTCTAAAATTTTACAAAGTGGATTTTACTGGCCTACTCTTTTTAAGGATGTCCATAGTTTTATTGAGAAGTGTGATAAATGTCAAAGGGTAGGAAATATTTCACAGAGAGATGAGATGCCTTTAAATACTATTTTGGAAGTTGAAATTTTTGATGTGTGGGGTATTGATTTTATGGGGCCATTTCCTTCGTCTTTTTCAAACAAATACATTAGTTGCAGTGGATTATGTTTCTAAGTGGGTCGAGGCTAGGGCATTTCCATCAAATGATGCCAAAGTGGTCATTTCTTTTGTTAAGAAACACATATTTTCTAGATTTGGGGTGCTTAGAGCAATCATTAGTGATGGAGGTTCACATTTTCATAATAAAAATTCGCATCACTTCTAGGAAAATATGGTGTCAACCATAAGATATCAACCCCTTACCACCCAGAAACTAATGGACAAGTTGAAATTTCCAATAGAGAATTGAAGAGAAATCTAGAGAAAGTAGTGAGTTCATCTAGGAAAGATTGATCTAGGAAATTAGATGATGTACTCTGGGCTTACCGTACAGCTTTTAAAACACCGATTGGAATGTCTCCATATCAATTGGTATATGGGAAATCATGTCATTTACCGGTGGAATTAGAGCATAAGTCATTTTGGGCTATTAAATTCTTGAATTTCAATTTAAAGAATGCAGGTGAAAAGAGATTATTGCAATTGGATGAATTGGAGGAATTTAGACTGCAAGCCTATCAAAATGCTAGCATTTATAAAAAAGAACGAAAAAATGGCATGATAAAAGGATTGTGAATAAAGAGTTTAGTCCAGGACAACAGGTGTTGTTATACAATTCTAGGATCAAACTTTTTCCAAGTAAATTAAAATATAGATGGTCTGGTCCCTTTGTGATTAAGCAAGTATTCCCATTTGGTACAGTTGAAATTTCAACTCTCAATTCAGAAAAAAGTTTTAGAGTAAATGGTCAAAGATTGAAAAGGTATGTTGGTGGTGAGTTTCATTAACATCACCATGTAACAATCATGCTGATTGAAAAAAAAAATCAAAAATATTTATTTTAGGAGAACAGAACCCTAAGACATTTTCACGTTGGGTGTTTCTTTCATTCTCCTTAGTGCGGCACACCCACCTTGTTCCATACTCCTCTTCCACTTTGTCACTTCACCATGTCAACTCGGATCAAGAGCCGTTGCTCAGGCCGTCGTAAGGTCCACACCAGCACCAGCAACGCAAACCCCATGCCATCTCGACAACGAGCAACTCTGGTCTCTGTTCCTGCAGAACCATCTCCGATATTAGGGACTTCGACCGGAAAACGGTTGCAGTCTTCTTTTCCCTCCGATGACAATGTCCATGGTATTATTTGCGAGAATGAAGAGCAAAAAACAGAGGTATGCTTCCTTGATTTGTAAAACTATTCTTCCGACACGCTATTTTGATGCCACTTCTTTGACCACATTGGGCATGTTAGAAGAGATCAATTGGATGTTGGGGAATGTTGGTTGGAACTCTTTCGTCAACTTGAACAACCCAGCTTATGAGAGAATCACTATAGAATTTCTTAGCTCGGTAAATGCAGAAATTTTGCAAGGAAAAAATTGCACAGAGGGGTTGATTAAGTTTAGATTGCATAACACTAATTATACCCTTGATTTAACTGAGTTGAATGCCATTTTCAGGTTTCCTAGTGGAGGTGAGAGAAGATATCCTTATGCTTTTAATGAACATTCCTTTTGGCACCAATTATCTACCTCCGCTAACTTTGTTTCCTCAGAGTCTAAAGAGTCTCATATTCATCATCCCTGTTTTTGGTATGCTCACCGATTGCTAGCTCATACTTTATTTGCTCGGGGTGATAGTACTGCTGCTGTTAGGAAATCAGAATTATTATTCTTATGGGGGATGCTCAACGATGTTCAACTGGATTCAGGTTCATGGTTAGCTCGTCAATTCACTAAGGTAGGAAAAGCTTCATCAGGACAAATAGCAATTAGTGGATTGATAACTCCAATTACATTACATCTCAACATTCCTTTGGAAGATGATAAGGCAATAGTCGGGACATCTCGCATTGATTTAGAGATGCTAATAAATAACGAAATTTTGGTCAAACGAGATGGTCACTATTGTTTAGTAATGAATTCTGTTGAAGGCATGTCACCACAACCACTTCCTAATCCAAAATTTACTACTATGCGTGGTCTAGCGAGGTGGACATTTTCATATTTGAAT